CTTTATCTTTTTTACGTATATCATTTTTCATAGTTATATTTTAGAGATTTTATGACTGATTTAACTTGCTTTGAACTAGACACAAGGCTTGCTAGATCTAAAAATAACCACTCGCAGCGTGGCGTGTCAACAATTTAAAGGGGCAACTCAAATTAAATAAACAACCAGTCACTTTTCGCTTCCTCCTTTTTCTTTCTTTACTTTGTTAAAAACATTAAAATACATCAATGCAGAAAGAGATTCTGGAAAACACAATTTTAATTAAGATGTCCAATGTATTCATTCAACATTTTGATTCTTTAGAATCCATCACAGGGCCCGGTTTAGGATTTCAAATTATAAGCCCGTAAATTAAATATCAGAAGTATGTGTCAATTTTCGAAAGTCCTCGCAAAATACAAATCTTTGCAATTTTTTATGATTAATTTTTTTCCCATAGAAAAATATTTTAAGGTAGTTTGTTTCAAGGATTATATTATTTGAACATGATTCTAATTGGTTATGCTGAACATCTACCGAAAATACTGCAATCGAATACATATATTTCAAAGATGCAATGTACACATTAAATGTATTTCGCTTCCCCAAAATATTCTTAGATTAAGTTCCTTAAAATCTGTACGTTCAGCTAAATTTTGAGGTATATTTATGTTATTTTTATAGTTGAATTAACTTTTAATAGCCGTAGATTGTTTCGAATATGTCTTTTTTTTAAAAAATATAATCTTATCCAAGCAAAAATGAAACTACAAAAAAAAAAAAAAAACTAAAAATATAAATTTTCTGATCTTTTGCTCGCCACTCTTGAAACTTTGAGTTACATTAAAATTTTCTAAACTCTTTTGTATTTAACTTCATGTGTGACTTTTTAAAATTATTTATCATACTATATAAACTCATTTCTGTTGTTGCTGACATGAACTTAGAGATCCAACAGTGACTCAATCCATTTATTTCTTCTCTGTTTTTTTTATTTTATAGTGTATTGAATTAATAAATGTGTTTCATTCAAAAGATATAATGTTAACTCATTTAAATACATTAAATTTATATAAAATACTTTATAATAAAAATATGTAAATGACTACTTGTAAATATAAATCAAGCAGTTTTCCTAAAACATAATAATTTTCTTAACGTTAAAACACAGTTAAAAATCCTAGACACTTTTTATAATGGAAAAGTTTCATTTCTCTTGACAGGACGAAAGGCACGAATGTAATATTTTTTCCAAACGTCGCTTGTCACTTAGGCAACTACTAAATTTTAAATTAACACGCAATCGATAAAATTATTTCGATCGCTGTGTTGGTCTTTCCCTTTGTTTTCATGACGTCATTTCGTGAAATGCATGTGAATTCTAACAAATTAAGAATTATTTCACACACTGTTGGTAAAAGTATCGCGAATTAAGTTGTAAATTAAGTTGTAAAGTAATATATCATTTCCTCAAAAATTGACTGTCTATTTTCACTTTAAAATATAAAATATACTTAAAAAAGAAACAAGTTTTTTTCTCGCACCTTTGGAGACCATTACTGCTATAATAGAAAAAGGGAAAAAGCAAATGCTTTAACTTGTATTTTAAAAATTATAATTATAATTGTGTGCAAAAATTTTACGATTCGCTTAAAAAGTTCTCGAGATATAGCGAATTGAGTATAATATAGCCTACGTCACAGTTTGTGTTGTTCCTACTAAATTTAACCCATGAACGGCATTTTCTGCGAGCCTAACTTCAAGCCACAAATAAACAAACGAAGTGTTCGATCGTTTAAATAGCTGCTCGCCAGATTTTATTGCATTATAAAGAAAAGTTATTGAAACTAAATACAACTAAATAAACAACAACAACTAAAACACGTTATAACCCAAGAAGTTTCTGTGTACAAAATAAACAACAACTAAATTCCATTCGTTTAGCATTGCGTCATATGTTGTTCCTACTAAATCGAAGTAGTTGTGTTATTTTCATATTATACCCAATTACGCAAAAAATTAAAATTAATATTAAGGGAACTAAACCTTTCCACAGCCCTCCCGAATCTTGGCATTCAAAGATCTTTGGTGGCCAAGTCCTGAACAAAATATTGGGAGCATATATTGTATACAATTGGATACTTGTAAGTAACGTCATCGTAGGTGAATCTTGGTATTTGTCGATTCAGAGCCCAATCAGGTTCGACACACACGCGTGACGTCGTTTACAGGTATCCAATTAAATCCAACAGGTATCCATTTAAATTACATGGTTAGGCACATTCTGTTCTCTTCTCGTATTGCAAGTAGGGAACATCACAAAATATTAAAAAATAATAATGAAATTTTATCAAAATCTACACCTTAGTGAGGTTTTAAGTGAGTTTTGTTATCCTAAAAAGTTAAGATGTTGAGAACCCAAACACTGGTTCACATAAGTAGTAAATGCCATTCGAGGCAAAAACGATCGTTCGGGCTATTCTGACATAAAATTTAATTTTTACTGTTATTTTCAATAAACTTTCGTTCATCATAGTTCACCCTAGTTCTTGTTTTGTCCATTTAATGAACGGAATGATCTAAAAATAAAGTAATAACTACTTAAAAAGAGTCCTATATTAATTTATTTACTGTGATAGTCTGTAATTTAAGATTTTATTAATTTATTTCACAATCAGAAAACAAAAAGTATAGCCAAAAGTAACAAATTATGGTAAAATTTGTTGAGAAATAATTATCTCTTTGAGAAAAAAAAATTCTCACTAATTTTTATCAAAGCGTTTTGATGAAGCGTTAGCATGAAATAATGGTTTCAATAGTATGTGATAAAATTTGGTAAATGTAATAAAATTTGGTATAATTATCATAATACCTCAAAGCTTGCTATAAAAACCATTTATTCGATTAAATTGACGTTCCAGTTTTGTATTATTTACTAATTGTATGGTAAAAGAATAATAATTTCGGAAACCAAAATTCTGGTAAACCCTTACCATATGAATGGGAAAATTATCAAATGTATGGTGTTATCTTGGTGTTATAACCAGAATTATGGCTTATTTTACCAGAATGTCATTACAATATAGTAAGGTATTTTTGTCCGAAATATTTTTCACCGTGCACAGAGAAGTATTCTATGAAATCAAAATCATCAAAAGGTAAATTTCAAGTGTGTAAATAAATAGTAACAATCCCACGTCATATTTACACTTTTTTTATTTGACATTAAGAAATATTAAATCAACAAATGCAGGTGAACTGTTAAATCTTTCTTTTGTTAAAATATTATTCACAAAAACTTCAGGTAGTTTTAATTTTAAGTATTGCATTATCAGACAAAACATATTTTAAAAACAATTATAATATTGAATAAATATTTATTGCGTTGCTTATTCTAGTTTAGTTATTTTCGTCGTCTATTAATTTGATATTTATATTTGAATTAATGATATTATTCATTATTATTACGTCCATTAATTTGATAATTTAATAATTAATTTGAGACCAAAAACATCCATCATATTTTTTTATTACCTATATTCTATTGACTCAATTGCATTTTCTGTGCAACTGGCAGAGTATAATTTCTTTATTTTCACGAATCTTCAGTTGGGTGCTTCAGACAGTTTATTGATATTTTAATTTAATTACAATAAAAATTAATTAAAAATTATCTTCTCTCAAAACATTCCTATATTTTCAAAACAGAATAGTTTTCATATGCTTCTTTAAAAATATTTATGCATCTTTTTTACATATAAGCTGCTTTTACAGTTGAAATAAGTTGTGAAAAACAATATGAGCTTCTGTCCACCACACTACGTGTTTAGCAACTTATATTTATTTTTTACTACATGCTTTTTATTTTCTCCTACTTATATTTTTATTGAATGATAAATTTGACTATAGAAAATTGAATTTAATACTTTAACCAACAATGTTTGCTAGTTTTCCTTATCATTGACTTATAATTTTGATCATAAAAGCCCCTAAACAATTTTTAATTAAATAAAATTTTATAATTTAATGTTTATTCATAATACCGATTAACTGAGGTTTTATTGGTTTTATCCTTTAACGGTTTTAAGCTATTTTTAAAGGTTTAGCTCCATAATTCTTAGATTTTTCGTGTTTGAGAAATACTTTAAAAGCAAAACTTAGAGTTCTAAATTAATTTTTTTAAAGGAATATTGCTTTTATGTATGCTGTCATGAGATTGTGACATAATCATCAATATTAGTATGCTCCTATTTTCGGATTATACTTATGTGTTAATAAGAAGAGTAAATATATATTTGAAATTTACAAAAACATTTATCTAAAATGTAGCAAAAGTAGCAAAAATAATTATATTAATATTAAAGAAAACAAGATAATTTATGGAATCAAGAAGAAATAAAAATGTCACGACAGTAACAAAATAGAAAGGATTTATAATAATGATAAAGGAACAAAATAATCGCAATAAAAACAACATAAGAATCTAAAAATTTTAATATATTTGAGCGATAAAAAACTTAAAATATACATCAGAAGCCAGAAATTCGAACTGTTGGAAAAAAATCGTTTGAAATTTTATACAAAAATAAAAGTCAAACGACATTTTTGAAGTAAAATTAACTAAACTTTTTAGCAAATATTTAATGCTTAAAACTTAAATAATATAAGAACAATGCCAAAATAATAAATATATTGATGCACACGAACTTTTACTTACGAACAATCATGCTTCATAAAAACTGAAAATCGAGAAATCCATTCCAAAACAACGTTGTCACATGCATAATCGTGCATCAAGCGATAACATTCAAATAAAATTATCAACCTTACCTGATTAATATCTTAACAAATAATTTGTTTGTTTTTTTGTCGGTGGCACCGGTAAGAACACAACATATGTCAAATTTTTTTCACACGAACTATAAAAACATATAACAATAATCCATTCTGCTATTTTTCGATTAATCTACTATTATGCATGAGAAAAATACATCTCCCATTGGCACTAATGACGCACTAACCTTTTTCAGGGGCATCTAAATCGTTTGTTGATCACTGTTTAGAGAAAGAGAGGCGCAAGATAAATCCTCCGTATCGTTCCATGAGCAAGGGATATTCTGTACTGAGGAAAAAAAGATGCGCACGGTCTACCAAGACAGCGTGGAGACAAATGTGGAAGTGAATTGGCGCCAACTAGCAACACATTTGGCGATATATCTGCTGATTTTATTTTGATAAACGATTGAAGTTTTTGTTTTGATATAGAGATTTTGATTACAAAAACAGATAGTAAAGCTTTTTGCACACATTTTGTTACTTATCTCCCAAACTTTTTCCTAGTATGCGTGCACAGGCAACTATGATATGGTAATTTGTGAACAGATTATCAAAAAAAATATTTAATAGATTAAACTTTATCATAATGAATTTCGATTTTAATAAATTTTTAGGATTGTTTCGATTTTCCATTTGATGTTTAAAATTTTTTTTTATTTATTTATTTTTATTTGCTTGAAATAAAGTTACAGATTTCAAGTTGGAGAGTTATTTAAGATTTCTTTTTTAATTCAGATAAATTTTAAAGACTTTTTTTAATATGGAAGAATTACTGAGAAATTTTCAATCAGAAAAATTCTTTAAAGCGATTATTGATAAAGTAATGTTTTTTAATTTTTCTCTCACTCTCTCTTTTCTTATGTTAAAGAACCGCACTCATTTTTAATTAAAATAAAACACATAGTTATAATTTTTGCATATTTTTTAAACTTCAAATGATTGAAAAAGATTCAACTGATTCAACGATTCAATATATATTCACTACGCAAAACTAGAAAAATTAACACTTATAAAATGAACTATTTTTATGAAACTTAAATTGCATTAAATAACTTTTCAATTTAAAATTTTATTTTTAAAAGATACTAAAATAGTTTGAAATTATAAAAAAAAATTAGGCAATGAAATAAGAAATATGCAATAAATGTTTGCTTTTTTAACCTTAACATTAATAATAACAACAATATTACAAAAAAGTATTATTATTTTCAAACTAATTCACTTATTGCAGTGTATCCAGTATGTCTTTTGAATATAACTAGGAAGCTTCAGTAACAAATATGCCCATACTAAGTTTCAGCTCGGAAGTAGCATAATTGGTGGTCTGTAGAGTATTTTTTTTTAACAAGTTGTAACAGTTAATTATTCTCGATCTAGTCATAGAATGTTAATTTTTTTAAGTCCATTGTACTTTCTGCAAATTTTTCTACAAACTTTCGTAATTTCAAGTTTCTTAGTCATATTGTTTGCGCAGCAATACATTATAGGCAAATTAGGAGGCCCACAATGTGGAGCAATATTTAAGTATGTAAGTATATACTTCTAAGTGTGTAAAATAGCGTTAAAATGGAGAAATTGTTGCTCATATGCTGTATAGTTTAAACATATTTTAACATTTTATTTCTTGGTATTCGTTTTCTTTTTTTGTTGAAAAATAAAACCTCTGTTATCGTTAAGAATTATTTACGTTATTTTTTCAAGGAAAAAAAGATTTTATTAAAAGATAAATCATCAAGATTAAGTAATTTAACTTTTCCTACGGTTCTTTTTATCACCGTTTAGTTTAAATGCTTCGTTAGATCGATAACACTTTTTCCCTCAAAAGATTTTAAATGCTAACTTTAACAAGTTACTGTGAATGACTGAAATTGGTGGTTGATGACTTCCACCGGTGAATGTTGACAATCACATAGTCGCTTTGGTAAGCGTCTGAAATATACACTGAGTGGCCAAATTATTATTGAAGGCGCGATGCGCCCCCATACGGCGCAATGTGCGTCGAACAGTCCGTTCAGAGACGTTCACAGTTGCTCCTTGATTAAGATCACTTGCAATTTGTCCCACTGTTGCTATCCTGTTGCGCTGCACAACCCTGGCCAGCATTCTCTCTGATCGAGTATTCAGTACCCTGTGACGACCACAAGTCTGACGTTGAGATCCGGTTTTTTGCTTGATTGTACACATTAACAACTGCTGCTCTAGAACACTCCTCAAGTGCAGCCGTTTTGCTGATACTCGTTCCGACACATCTCGCACCCTCAATCATTCCACGTTGAAATTCAGTTAAATCACTTTTCTTTCCCATATCTGAGCAAGCAACACAGTATAACTGATGACTCACTTGTCCATCATTCCCGTGTTATAGTTATCTTGCCCTCAAGCGGCAGCGCTGTGGCGCAATAACTCATTTGCATAAAACTCTGAGTTGGTCATAATAATTTGGCCACTCAGTGTATATTAGGTCTAGTTAAGTGCCTCTTCCCGGTATACCCTACACTGATGTTTTTTTAAGTTTCAGGGCCACTTTCCGGTATACATTTGTCCGGTATACCCTACATGAATATTTTTTAAAGTCAAGTGCCACTGCCCAATATGCATTTAACCGGTACACAAAACACTGATGTTTCTGCTAATCTATCCTCAGCAGATATTAAAATATCGAATAAATATAATAATATCAACGAATAAATTAATATTAAATCAGATTTTGCAAATATTTCGGCCATTCACCAAAACGACTATGTGATTGTTGACATTCACCGATAAAAGTCGACATTCTCTTGATTTCGGTCATTCACTGTAACACATACATATAGCCCCATAGTTAACTTTAATATTAACATATAATTTTTGAACTCGGTCAGGTATTAGATTATTCGATAATATATATTACCTACCATACCAAAGGAAATTATCAAGGAACCAAAGAGGGGGCCTACAATGTGGCACAGTTACGAATTAGACGGTGTGGCTCGATATGGTTTCATTGAAATTACTCAGAAAGCTTGTTAATGTTATCTTGTTATGCCTATGGAACGTTAAATTAAGTTCCTATTTAACGTTGCATGTCATGCAGCCCTTGCTATATTCTTATATAGAGAGATAGAGATATATAGTTATAAACAAGCATGATATTTCTTATTACATATATATATATATATATATATATATATATAAACAAAG